TTTTACTATAGAATTTTTACCTTGGTATATTTGTATATGTTTCGGCACCATCGATGTTCATTTCAGTTATCGGTTTATCACTTAGCAATATATGCTAGGAATAAGTCAGGGCTGGTGGGAAATCACATCTGGTTCTCATAACATCATTTTGAAAGTATCATCAAAATAACTTTCTTTTTTTTTACATTGTCCTTTCCCACTCTGGTTTCTGCCTGGATCTTAAATAATAATCATTTTTATTGCATTTTATGAACTTGTCCAAAGGCATGTGTGACAGGTGATCAAGTCTTCTTAGAATGTGAGGATAGTATAGCTGTGGATGAAACTAATACAGGAGTTATGGCCTTTCCAAAAATAATTGTTGGCTGAGAAATGTTTGATTTTATATAAGTCTTGGAAAGGTTGCTTTTTCTCAGTTTCCCTTAAACCTGGGGTCAAAGTAGCGAGGCAAAAGACAAAATATTAAAATACAGAGTAGCAAAAAGTCAATCAATTTTCTGTATTTTTCCACTTAGCATGTGTTTACAAATATTTTTCTCCTTCTATATATAGCCACAGACTATGGAAGCATCATATTCCGGAAGTTGGAAGGAATCTTAGAATTTTTCAAGTTCCCCCACCATACTTTTCCAAATAAGGAAGCTGAGTCTCAGAAAGGTTAAGTGCATGGTGTAGCTGGTTGGTGACAGTCCTTCGTGATCACAAATTAGTAGCAGTCAGGACTAGGTCTCAGGTCTTATGACTCCTGGTACAGGGCTCTTTCAAGAGAGAACCACCTTCCAAATGTTTCCATTCTCCAATTATCCTCCTGTCAACTCTAAACAGTTCTAACTACTGGGACTGCAGTTTTTCAACAACTGTAAGAAGTACTTCTATTTCCAGTGCTAAGTTGACAGCTCTGTGTTTTGTTACAGACTATGTGTTTTGCACTCCTGTCTACAATTGGAATTACCCTGGAGGCAGCATGAGGTTTCTGAATGGGCATCAACTGCAATGGAATACGTGGTGATTCTCTTTCTCCACTTTCGACAGGCAAGTTATAAACCTTCAAAAGCTCGTCTACTGCTGTGAGTGCTCTGTTTTCCACTAATTCCCTTGCCCTGTGATAATAAACTGTTAATGTTCTTAAAGCCCTGGGTGGCTATTATGCCTGTACAGAACGGAAGGTGTGCCTAGCTTGCCTCTCCCAATCCCAAGGTAGCAGCTCAATGTAGACCACCATCCAGGATGGCACCCAAAACTTTTTAAAGCCTCTGTTCACAGATGGTTGAACCCTATTCGACCCTTTGTTTCAGGCTGTGAGCCCGGTTATGGCACCTCTCCATTTGCAGGACACTTGTGATCCCTATTATCTTTTGGGAGTCAAGCTCCCAACTACCACCACCACCTGTTTCCAGCCTTGGAACCCATCCCATGGCTTCAGCCTCCCCTTATGCTATAAGTTTTAGTTTTCTATCACAAAGATACTTATCTAGTTTTATGTATATTTAACATACATTGCTATTATTTTAGCTACTATTACTATGTAAAGTCACAGCATGTCTTGACCAGAAATCTCCAAAATATGCCTTAGAAGCAACTTAGGGATGACATTCAGTTATATGGCTATTAAATTCACTGGGGTTGTGATGACCAGTGGTGATGAACAGTTAGTGTCTACTTTTCAAAATATAGATCCAATTTGTCCAAAGGGATTCTTAAAATGAGCATGAACATTTCAAAATCTCTTCCATCTCCCTTTTGTGCCCTTTGGCCATTGCGGGTGTGCAAACAAGAGAAAAATGCCAACATTCAAACGCTTTTCAAAATTCCAATATGTAGCCAGAGCCATAAAAAATGCAAAATTTCTGGAATTGGTGGTGTAACTGATGAGGATTTCAAATAGAAAAGGGAAGTGTGGCAGGCAGTATTGAGAGACTGCACCCAGGATCTCGCCCCCTGGTGTACACACCTTGTGTAATCCCCTCCCCTGTGAGTGTGGGCAGGATTGTGAATAGATGAGATTTCATTACCATGATTAGGTTACGTTATATGCTAAAGGTGAAGGGACTTTTCAGATGGAGTTAAGTTCTCTGATCAGTTGAATTTGAATTAATCAAAAGGGATATCATCCTGGATGGGCCTGAACGAATCAGGTGAGGCTTTAAAAGGGACTAAGCTCTTCCTAAAGGGACAGATTTGAAGCTTGGGAGAGATTATCCTGTTGGCTTTGAAGAAGGATCTGAGGGCAGCCTCTAGGAGCTGAGAGTGACCCCTGGCCAATAACCAGCAAGAAAACAGGGGTGTCAGCCCTACAGCTGTAAAGAATTGAATCCTGCCAATAACTTGAATAACCTTGAAAGATGACCCTGAATGTCAGATGACAATGGGGCTAGTTGACACCTTGATTTTGGCCTGGTAAGCCACTAAGCAGAGAACACAGCTATCCCATACCTGAGCTCCTGTCCCACAGAAACTGTGAGATAATTAGTCTATTTTGTTTTAAGCCTCTAAATTTGTGGTAATTTGTTACACAGCAATGCAACCTAATACAAGAGGGTATGCTAAACTTCATTCTAATACTTTATGGGGCAATGTGCAGATGTCATACGATCTCACGGAAGTCCTATCTCCAGGAACCTTAAGAGGGAAAGTGGCAATAGTGACTGGCACAATGATCACGCTGGTCCATGGGCAGTTATCTCTCTAGGCTCTTCTGGGTCAGTTACTGCACAGAGCCAGGTGAGAACCACCAGAGCTTTTAAGTGGTTGTGACATTAACAAGATACAACATTTATCATCTTTGTGGTGCCATAGACAGTGGGAAACTTCAAGAGCAACACCAAAAACAAGCATAGGCTACAGATTAAGACACTGATTTCAGATCAAGTTAAAAGATGAGTGCCTACCAGTATGGGGTGGGACCTGCCACAGAAATTTCACCCTGCTTTCTAAGGGATAAAGCCAGCATCATCTACTGCTTACACTTGAACCAGGTAATGGAACCCAGAGGCCTTGGAGCACAGTCCATTGGACCAAGGCTGCACTAGGCTGTAGGTGTGCAAAGGTCAGATTACAACAGGACACCTAAGAAGATGCTAGATAGTAAATTCAATGGGCAGTTGGTAGATGGAAAACCTTGTAAGGGTCCAGTGAAGCCCAAAGTCAAATGAAGAGGTGCAGCTGCTGACTGACGAGAATCAGTAGCAAACAGTCAGACCAACCAGGGGCACAGCAGTTACAGGCAGGTGCACCTGTAAGTGTGCACAAAAAACACCCACAACTGCTACCCACCGGGCAGTTGACTTCTGTACCTACTGTGGAGGGAACTTATATTTAAAGTTTTAAAGAGAAAATAGTCCTTTGTCTATAATAGAAGCACTGAATTCTGAAGCACTGAATTCATTATAAGTCAGGGCAGTTTTGGACACCAGGACAACTGGAAGCTCCCAGAACACTTTACTGTTTTATGACATAAACCATGAGGAGAGCTGTATAGTTTTGTGACTATATTATTTACTTTTCCATGATTTATCCTAATTTCAAAAACATTTAGGCTCTACACGTCCAGTTTTTGGCTCAGAAAGCATGTCACTCCCAGGTGCTGCCAGTGGCAAGATCTTTTGGAGAGCCACCAAAAGCTCAAACATTTTTCCCAGAAAGCGGGCTGCTTGCAGGTGCTTGTCCTCACTCTCAAACAAAGCAGGCTCCTCTACTTTAATTTGGTGAATGCTGCTATCTGCATATGCAGTATGCATGGCACACCTGGCCCCTTCAATTAGCAATAGAAAAATCTGCCCTCCAGGCTCTCACCAGGAAGGTCAACATTTATTCGACCACTATCTACTTCCTGCCAGAGCTCTCACCATATTTCATAGACATGGAATTAGGGGAATGCAATCTATTCATCCTTCCAGGCAATCTAAATCCTATCAAATTAGACATCTGGTCTTTCAACTGTTGGTGATCATAATCCATTGGTTCGTGGCACAAGACCTTCAGGCCTTCCTATGTCTCCTGGTTTAAGAAGTAACAGTGAATTGGACCAATTCATGGCCCATCACAAGATCCTTATGGCTATGGACTACACCTTGAGAATGCCTGAGTTAGACGATCTGAAAGCTAGGTTACCTGCGGCTTCCCTTGTCCTGCTCCTCACTCGCCCCCTTCAAGATGAAATACCTTTGCTAGATTATCTTAGACATGTTGATGTTATACCTTCAGTTTTCACGAAGACTGGATATAAGAAATGGTCACACGAAGAATACTTTGACAAACCTGCACTAATGAAGACATTGTCCGTGATATTTTCTCTTTGTATAAGAGCCAATACTAAAAATTTCTTCAAAAATTTAATACCAGGAAAATAAATTTATCTAGATAAACTAAGTTTTGGTTTATCATTCAATGAGAAATAGATAATCTACTGGTCACCAAGAAGCTCAGAGTTAAGGTCAATGCTCAATTACAATAAATCTATTAGCCTTGGGATACATGTAATATATATCCTTCCAACCTCCATATATATTTTTTAATCTGAATTTCAATGCCCTGCTGTTGAAGTGCCTTTTATTGAGATACCTCAAATCCTTTTAGAGAGTAGGTTAGTTGTGCATTTTAAAACATTCAAGTGGGATAATGAGCACAAACCTTTAAGAACATATTATAAAAGCTCAAATATTATATTTTAAGAGTTGATATAAGATAGTGGTTAAGAGCCATTCTACTTGGTTCAAATATCAACCCAACTACTCCTGACTTTGGACAAGTCTTAGCCTCTCTGTGATTCAGGTTCCCTATCTCTAAAATGGAAAAAATAAGAGTACTTCTTAATAAGGTTATTTTGAGGAGTAAATGTATTAATACACACGAAACACTTAAAACAGTAAACACTAAAAATGAACTGCTCATATTATGTCACGGGCTAATGTTAAACTCTATCAGTACATAGTATGATCAAAATGTCATACCCTATTAGGCTTGTGGACTTTATCCATTCAAATGCAACATATAATGCTTACCTACTGTGGCAGATGCTGATGAGAGCAGAGATTTGCCCCAGGAGCCCCAGCCGGCCCATCCTCCTCCATGTGGAGGGGAATCCACGGCCTGTGGAAAAACAGATTAGTCGCAAGGTCAGCAATTCAGTTTGTTCCTGAATGGAAAAACACTCATTTGGTTTGAAATAAACAGAAAGCTTTTTTTAAAAAAAAATCACCAACCACCATGTCTCACTGGCTTATAGTTTACAAGGGACATAAAAGAAGATACCAACCCACATTTTAAGGTGTACTTTGGAACCAAATTAGTAGTGGTGTTGGCTTCTGAGGGCTTGGCTTGAAGTGAAAAGAAGGGAGATTGAGGTTAACCAAGATCCAAATCTCCCATTATCTGGAATACAGAGACAAGGGCTGCAGGGGGAAAAGATTTATTAATACACTGGGGCACAAAGTGATTTGAAAAAATCCAAAACTCAGGCAACTTTTACATAGCTCAACAAATGTTCTCTTCAAAGAAGAGTTAACTTTCCAATCTCTGCAGTGGTAGGAGGGAGCTTTGGCACAGATGATAGGCAAGTGTCCAGAAAAGTATCAAGAAGCCTGGAGGTGGGCAGCAGCAACGGATAGCCTTTTGAGGTAGACACCTTCAAAGGCGTCTACTCCACTCATAATGACCCTTGTAACTATATCTCTCACCATCCCTGGGCTCTGAGGATTCAGACTCTTGGGGAGGTATTTGGATGGGGACTGAGAGATTCTGGTTCAGCCTGAGCTGGTTGTTTGCACCGAAGATGAAAACTCAGGCAATGCAGGGTGACCCTATTCTATTCACAGTGCAGAGTGAACAGAATGAAGGAGATATGCTCTGAGAAGCCTTTTAGATCCCTGATAGCTTCTCAGTCCCTGGTTTCTGTCCCTCTTCAAGGCCCTGCTGCATTCCTATCTTTGGGTTCCATGAGATTCCTGAATAGTCAGTCTGTCTGTCCGTCTCTTTTTAAAAAATGTTTTGTTCACGGGCGTATCCTCAGAGCCTAGATGAGTACATGGCATACAATGAGTGCTTAATACATTTATTTGTTGAATAAATGACTGAAATTCATCCATTTTCTTAGGTGTGCAATAGTTTATGTTACTTGCAACCAACGAGCCCTAACTCAGTTAGTGGAACCACAGCTTTCCTTTAAAATCTAGGAATACATTCTAGAAAATGAGGCGAGAATACATTAGAAGTTAATACATGAGGAACTGGAGACTTATAGCTCTTCCACTCCAAAAAAAAAAGAAGTTAGAAAGTGAAAAATTCCTAGAGACATTTGCAGATTTTATAACTTTTGACCCAAGGCTGGTCCATCAGTCATCCCCAACTTGTTTCTCCCCGCTGTCTTCCACCTTTGCAGATAAGGGTGGCCATGTGAAATAGTTTTGACCAATGAGATATAAACAGGGAAATTTTTGCTTTCATGATAAATTATACAGTTATGGCTGGCACCAACTCTTCTCCCCTCCGTTCTTCCTGGCCTGAATGTGGACATGATGCTTGAAACTAAAGCAACCATTTTTGCTGCCATGAAGGAAAGACTTGGGAATCACAGAGTCACTGGTCCTGGCACTGCTGAGCTACTAAACCAATGTGAGTAGCTGCCTATCTCCATTCTTTCTGTTAAGTGAGATAAAAATAAATCGCTATGTTGTAAGCTACTATATATTGGATTTTAGTTACTTGCACCCAAATGCATTTCTAACTGATTCACCTAGTAAATATCAAACACCATCCATCAGTGTAGACTACTGGTCAAGAGAAATGGTTATGGAATAAATTGCTTGAGTTTGACTCCAGGCTCTGCCATTTTGGGCAGCAAGTTTCTCAAATCTTTTAAGCCACCATTTACTCATTACAAAATGCGAGGTACAGTAGTGTAGGAACCAGAAGTATAAGGACCAATAACCTCACAGGGTCATTGTGAAAATTAAAAGAAATAATTCATACAAAGCTTTGAGCATAGTGCCTGGCACATACTAAATACTCCATCAATGTTAACTAGTAATAATAATAATAATAAACTACATTTTTCACACTACAAAGAAAAAGCTTTGAAAGTAGGCTGACACTTTTTTCTGTCTGGAAACAATGAGAAGCTTGTTAACATGAATGGAAATACTCATGATTCACGACTGTCTGCTTTCATTTTTGGTGTCTACATTGATTTACTTCACTTTGGCAATGGAAGCCAGTGGCAATTTTATACCATCATGAAGACAGATATAAGTTGGTGATTAATATCATTCTTTCACGGGACAAATCACTTCCTATGTGATTAGGGAGAGTTAATACACTTAGGGGTGACAGCTTCTGACTCAAATTTACAATACTTAATATGCTCTGACAGCTGGTAATTGACTAGCAAATGGAAATAAATGTTAAATGAGTCTAGAACTTTTTGCAGTATAAGTGACTATTTCAACTGCTTTATTAATAAAGCCCCTTTGACATTGAGCTGTGACCGCGTGATCAGCTACAAAGAATACCAGTTATTAATGTCAAATACTCAAATGACTAAATGTGCACATTTAATATAAAAACCATATAAACTAAATGTTCAACATGAATTATAAATATATCTCATCTTGAGTATTGTCTCCACTTTAAATGACTTTAGTGTCACACACTATGAGACTATGAAGTAGGCAGCATGGATCTACTCAGATTTCCCATTATCAAATATGGTTATTTTAAAACTTTTTTCTCACCCTCACCCCATGTAACCCCCACCACCTTTAACAGATAGCTTTGCATCCTAATTCACAGAGAAAACAGAAGCCACCAGATGAGAATTCTCTTAACTTCCTGTCCCCTCCCCATAAACTCTCAGAAGAATGGCCTCATATTGTAACAGCAAATCAGACTTGGCTTGATCAAAAGGGATATCCAAAACTCAACTGGAGATCATTTAAACATCTGTAACTGTTGTGTGGTCCTAAGAATATGAAAGAATGCAAGATTCCATCAAGTTCAAAGTTCTTTAAATAGAAGAGACAGTTACATATCTGGTATCCCATTTAAAGGTCTTTATCATTAAATTGAAGACACATTTATTTATTTTTGGCTGTCAAATTCAAAGGTACCATTAGATAGAAAAAAATGCACAAATCTTAGAATTCCATTGATCAAAAGTCTTTAACATCTAGATGGAAATACAGGTACTTGTCTTAAAGATCAAAGATCAACCTGGTAGTCCTAATTCCTTGAATAGATCAAGAATCAGGCACTGTGCAGAACTTCTATCCAGGGATGGGAGCTAGGAGACCAAACCCTTTTTAAGTTTTGTAACTCACGACATGGCTGCTCTAAAAAGGGGCTCAGTATGACATTTGGGAGGATGTAAATTGCTCTGAGTGCCTGCAGTTCTGTCAAAATATTTGATTGAAAATGGTCTCAGTTATTTCCAGGTAATTTTCTTCCTTGGTGAGTATGCATATTCTACTCCGGGAAGATTTAAAATTAAATATAGAAAGATTTAAAGCATCAAAGTCATGTTATTAACAGTTTTATGCATATTTGGTCTTTTCTGTACTCTAATGTTTAAGGAATTTGATTAGAGTGACAATTTTGGAAAACCAATTTATTTTTATTTGTTTACTTTTTTGAAGAAGATTAGCCCTGAGCTAACTTCTGCCAGTCCTCCTCTTTTTGCTGAGGAAGACTAGTCCTGAGCTAACATCTGTGCCCCTCTTCCACTACTTTATATGTGGGACGCCTGACACAGCATGGCTTGCCAAGTGGTGCCATGTCTGCACCCAGGGTCCGAACTGGCGAACCTGGGCTGCTGAAGCAGAAAGTGCGAACTTAACCGCTGTGCCACCGGGCCAGCCCTTGAAAGCCAATTTAAAACGAATAATTGAATTATTCAACTTCTGATTTTAAGTTGAAATCTTCCTCATTTTATGCACAGTACTATAACACCTAAGAAGTCTTTAGGTCCACTCAATAAATTTAAATTAATAGATTTATAACAATTCTTAACTACTCAGCAAGGTTTTGTTTAAGTAGATAAATGAGGGACTTTAAAAGGAAACAGAAAAGATTAAATTTACAAATGCCGTTTAAAAATATTTGAATGGGTTTAAGTTGGTAGAAAGGACCAAGCATTAATCAATAGTTCCTTGAAAGTGACTGTTGAATTTTGCTAGACTTCTATATAGAGTAAGATTTGTGAGACGAATGTAAAGCCTAAGAAGAAGTGAATTTTTGAATTTGTAACTTTAATAAATTGAACACTAATTGTTTAAATCAAATTAAGTCTGAGTAGTCCTTTTTATGCACAAAACACACAATGGCCTACATCAAAACCCCATCTAAACACAAATCTAACTTCAGTGCACCCTGACTCACAATTACTTCCTTCCCTTCTATCATTACGGAAGTTGTGTCTTCTTCTTAGTTACAATTATCACCTCCATCTGAACTTCTCTGGGTCTGCGTAGGTTGGATTTCCCTTCTCTTCTGGTTTTTTAACCTTTCTTTACTTCCCACATTTATCATGCACATGATTCCTCCATCTTAAACCAACAAATGAAAATCACAATGATGAAATGTTTCTTCCAAACTTATCTGGTTTCTGCTCCACATCTTTCTTCTTCACTTCTTAAAAAACGTGCCTACCTTCTGTAACCACCCCCAGTCATTCCTCCAACCACCACAGTAACTCTCCTATGGCCACTACTTCATGAAACCATTCTCACCAAGGTCACAATGGCTTCCTTGTTGCCAAAGCCATGAACTCATTTTATTTCTTGACCTCTCAGTAGCATCTACAGTGTAACCACTTTCATATTCTTAAAATAGTCTATTCCCATGGCTTCCATACCCTATCTTCTGATTCTCACTTTTTTCTCCATCCTGTAGTATTATGATTTTAGAAAGTTTCTACATGCTTATTGTGACACTATGGGGGCTCCTTAGATTAACCACAATCCAAGTACTGCCAGCATTCCAAAGGAATATGTACAGTCCAAGGTGGCTAGCTGGCATTCTAATCAGGAAACTCATACTCCAGAGGCACCTTTAATAAGCACTTCTATTATCTGAAACTGTATTAACATCTGATGCTA